TCCCTAACTTTAGGGACTAATGATCCAGGAGCCGGGCCAGCCTTGCTCTTCTTTCTACGATGGTTCTCCAGGTTAGTGCTCAACTTCTTGAAACCTCTTCCTTCCGATCCTCTGTCTGTCTGTCTCTGTCTGTCTGTCTGTCTGCCTGCGACTATCCTCCTATGCCAAATCTCACATAACTCTATCTTTCTTTGACCCAGCTACTTCTGACCGGTGAGAAGCCGGACGCCACTTCTGGTACCCAAGGTCCCGATTGAAATGCCGCATGCCGCGCGCCGCATGCCCTCCATGGAGAAATCAGCTCTGTCTTGCTCCTAGATGGGAACATCTCCACTAGCCTTGTCCAAGGTAGCCTTAACCGTCCCTTCTCTGTGCTGCAGCCTGGACACGGCAAGCACCTGCAGGGTGCCTCAGAGTACTGGACAAGAACACTGCCTGCCGAGCTGCATCTCCAGGAGCTGGCAGTTGCCCCAAAGGAATCTTTGTGGCTCGCCCCCTGCCTGGACGCTTTGACTGTGCCTTTATTAGCCCTGGCGGCAGCTGGACAACCAGAGGGCCTTGGGCCCTAGGCTCTCCGATGGAAACATAAGTTTAGCCTCTCCTCAAAACCCGGATGGAGCTACCTGTAGGCCATCTTTCCAAGCACGAGTTGGGCCTGTGGGGTCTGTGTGCCCTTCAAGGGCAAGAAGGCCAATGGGTTGGGGTTTTTTCCCCCTCCCTTCTTCTACAATCTCTCCCCTGCATTTAGGACTGGGGGAGTGGGTTGTGACGGGAAACGGGTCTCCTAACTGGGCTGTAGCCCTGTGCACCAATTAATTTGGCTCTGTCAGTTGGTCCTGATGGAGAGAGGGCGGGAGATCAGAAAGAAGTCTCTAGAAGGGGGTTTCAAAGCTTGGTAGAACTTGCAAAAACTCTTAGGAAGTATGATTTTTGAATTGAACTGTGCAGGTGTGCGTGTGTGTGTGTGTGTGTGTGTGTGTGTGTGTGTGCGCTCGCGCGCGCTCCCTCACTCTTTTATATCTTGGGGGTGCTGGGGCGGGGGAGAAAGTGTTCTTTAAATCTTTGAAGATACATTCCTGAGAGCCTTTCTTACCAGGGCTGACCTCAGACAACCCCACCTCCCCCGCCACCACTCCAGGCCTCATGAATGGTTTATCACTGCCCCCTGTCCAGCTCTGGGGGCTGGGCACCCTGCCAATAGGCTCCCGATGCACTCAGAGACTGATCCAAACTGGCCCGGGGGCCGTGTAACGCTGCGCGTTGATTGGTTGCTCTTGGCTCCTCCCCTCATCCCTTCTTCAGCCCAAGAGCAGGGTGCAGCCCAGCCAGAGCGGGATAGGCGCTGGGGTGCCAGCCGGGGAGCCTTCCCTCCTCGGCTGCACTTTCCGATTCTGCCTTTGGAGCGGCCCCATGGCCAGCCGCGGCCGCTCCATCGGCTTCCCTTTCCTCACCTGCATATGAACTTTGCTTCCTGAGGACTGGACACTGTGGTCGTCGGAGTCGTCGAGATCGTCGTGGTGCTCCGGTGGTGGCCTTCGTCCGTGTAGAATAGTGTAGTTAGTTAGGGGCCATCGGAGAAGAAAGAAGACGCGAATAGCGCAGAGATGCTGGAGGTTGTCAGTTACTAAGCTAAGGAGAGATAGTGGAGAATGACCAGCCAAACCTAGCCGGGGGTGCGCGGTCGCCCCAAGGAGGTCGACTGGCCGGCGCTTGCCCTCGCGCCGAGCTCCCTCCGTCCCCCCTCCGCGAAGGCGCGAGGTGGCGGCGCGCAGCGCAGCGCTCAGGCTGCTGCGGACTCAGCTGGGCGATTGCAGCTCAGTCCGTTCCTCGTCTCGCTGCCGCCGCCGCGGCGACCGCTGCCTCGTCTCCGTCCCGGATGCTAGTGGTAAGTTGGAGCCCTGGGCAGCCTGGCTTGCGGAGACCCTAAAGGTTTCGACGGAGGATGGGGTGGGGAGCGGGGACAGGTCCCGGATGGTCGCAGTCTGCAAGACCGCACTGGCCAGAGGGGGAGGGGGTGGACGGGATGGTGGAGGTGGGGGTGCATGGGGATCCTGAACCCGCAGATCACGCGAAGACTGGAGGGCAGGGGGACTGAGGTGCCACGCGGGAGACTTCGGAGTCTGGGAGGCGGGTGGAAAGCGGGGCTCAAGATGAAGGGTGGAGGCGGGGTCTGGAAAAGCCGGTGTGGGGTGGGGGCGCCAAGAGAGAAAGGGAAGAAAACAGGGACGGGTCTCACGCAGCGGGGAGCGGGGAGCGGAGAAAGAAGAGAGACTGAAAACAGGGGTGTCACTGGGTAAGTGGCTGGAGACGCAGAAGCAGCAGTTGAGTTGTGGGTGCAGGCTAAGTTCTTCAGAAATCGGTGGGAAGGACCAGAAGGCTTGGAAAGGTGGAAGTGCAGCAGGGGTGGGGGGCGATGGAACCTGGATTGTGCTCTCAATGAAACCAACCTTCATTTTTGGCGCGTCTCAAAGAGCACCAGTAACTCAGGGGAGATCCACACTGCGGATCTGTATCTTGCTCTCCCAGCTCTTGCCTGTCTTTGAACAGCGCTGCTGATGGTCAAGTAAATTTAAGACCAGCGTCTGAGAGCACCCAGAGAGTCTTTTTTATTATCTTACCTAAGACACTTGGGGACCTTTTCATATCTTCGAAAGGGTTACAGACAAGTCTCTGGTACTGCCTCCTAGCATCTCGGTTCTTAACACTCCGTTTAATCTTAATCGCGTACGTGAGAACAGGTTGCCGTTCCTGATGCCACATAAAGTTTGTCATTGCAAAAATCGTGTCTGTGTGTCCGTTTCTTTTCGCCGTCGTGCCCTGTGTCTTTTGCTTCTTGATGGGTGGTACGTGACTAAAGGTGACTAATGATTCGCTTGGTGTTCAAGACCCCATTCTTTAAAGTGACTCCCCCTCACACACACACACAAATTCATTGAGTGGCATTCACACTTAAAGAAAATATAATGTGCTCGAGAGAATCACTGCCAGTACTGCGCAACTTCATTAATATTTACTAACGTAAGTCCCATTCAAGGAGACATCTCACTGCCAAGATGCATGCGAAGTACTTATGCCCCTCACCACATACCTTTTAGGCAGGCGACCTAAAGGAAGCTTGCAGAAGTGAACTAACATGACCAGGGTCAAGGGAGACGCTATGCAGTGAAGTCACCTCTCAGCTCCTGTTAGTGTGTGTGTGTGCGCACACACAGAGGAATAAAATAAATAAGTAGGTAGATAGATAGATAGATAGATAGATAGATAGATAGATAGATAGATAGATAGATAAAAGGACACCTGGGTTCCAGCATTTACATTTTCTTGATTGAGAAGTTTACTTAATATATGAAAATAGGCACACGGTTGAAATGAGGAATTACTGTAGCTGGTTACATGTGTCCATAAAGCCAACTGCACTGCCATGTGGTCATTTCAACTCATAGTGACCCTATAGGACGGAATAGAGCTGTCCCAGAAGGTTTCAAATCCTGTAATTCTTTTTTTTTTAAGTATCCTTAAAGGAAATATCTTTTTTTAAATCATTTTATTAGGGCCTCACACAACTCTTATCACAATCCATACATACCTCAATTGTGTAAAGCACATTTTTACATTTTTAAAATCATTTTATTGGAACTCATACAATTCATCACAATACATACATCAATAGTGTAAAGCACACTTATACATTTGTTGCCCTCATCATTCTCAAAATTCAATTTCCTCTTGGGTTCCTGGAATTAGCTCATTTTCCTTTTTTCCTCCTCCCCCTCCCTCCCCATTCCCCCTCCCTCATGAACCCTTAATAATTTATAAATTATTATTATATAAGACAGCTACCACATCTTTTACTTTCAGAGTAGCTGCTGCATTCAAACCGTCAACCTTTCAGTTAGCAGGCGGTCGATGAAACACTGCAACACCAGAGATCCTTACATATGTGCTAAGTGCACAGTGAGAGTGCCTGTGTGACATGACCCATGGAAAATGATTTCTACCTTGGCCATTGCCTCTGTTTTGCAATATTTAAAATACGCTGGATATTGTCCTTTCTGACCAATTGTTTTCCCTCTGCCCCTTGCTGTATAGGAATCATCACACTACACCCCCTCACACCTCTATACTCCCCACCCCACCCCCAGGAGCAATTAAATGTTTTCCTGTACTGTAGGGAATGTAGGTTATAGAACATATAGTTATATTTCTCATTCCCTGCATATATTCTTCTGATCAATCTGGGGAGGAAATAAAATATTTCCTTGTTTCACTCGCATAATTTCTTTTCCAATAGACAGCTTTTCTCATCCACTACAAGTGCAACGCAAGTCCTGAAATTCGGAAGGTGGATAAGGCTAGTGGTTGCAATGTCAAGGTAGGATTTGGGGGTGTTCAAACCGATTATGACAATGTATTTTTTCCACCTGCAGAAACTAGGCAGGGATTATTAACCCTTGTTACCTGTTTTTTGTTGTTGTTGTTTTTTTAGGGATTTATCTTTATCTATCGCTTACCTGGATGACGGTGAGGATTTTTCTGTTAATAACATGACAGGCTTTGGTGCAGGATGAATTTGTGGGAAGAGAGGTGAGAGCTGACTTTTTCCAAAACCAGTGGGTGCCAAGACAGAAAGAGGAATGCTACGTTTCTACTTTATTTCACATCGTCTCCATAGCTTCAAATCTATGAAGAAGGGAGGTCATATACTTATTAGACTAGTGTCTTTGAAATTTTCCCTCTCCATTTCTAAAGATAACAAAACATTCTTAGAGATTAAAGCAATGGAATAAGAAACATTTTTTTAACACTATGAAGCATATCTGGAAAGAACATGTTTGTTTCTTTAACAATACAAGTAAAATCTAAATTGCCTGTCACTTTTGATATAATGTTGGGTTAATCCAATCAGCTTCGTCATCTGACCCGTGGCAGTTCAGAGATACTCTCTTCCAGAAAATAGCTTCTAAAATCCCGTTAGTTTTGCAGGTGTATGACAGCAATTTGAAATTGAGTTATTTGGGAATATGTCTGCATTTAGCTGGAAATTCACTAAATCTAAGTAAAACAATGAGGCCTGGGACGAACATTAATTTTTTTCACTCTTCAATTTATTTCTTTCAAGTAAAAGTTCTCCTTCCCCAGCTAAGGGAAGCACAAAATTAAAACAAAAATTTGTAAAGAGGTTACCAGTATCCAACAGTAAGTAAACCTCAACTACTGATTAATTTGTTCAAAACACGAGATTGACGAAGACCACTGCTTGCAGAGCCTGTGAGAAAAAAAAATGGAGTCCTAGATTATAATGGCTGAGAATCTTTAGATGATCGGGCCACTATCACCTGAGAACGTGTCAACCATGTCAATTTTTATAGCAATAACATGCCTCACAAAATGAGGATGGACAGCACTTGTACTGAGAGCATTCTCAGAATGTTGGGGACAGCTTAATATTGTTCAGTGGGAGAAATGCTGTAAGTAGCTGCCTGGGGAGCTGTGAACAAATGAGGTCTGCTTATTCGTTAAGGTTAATGACAAATCTCTTATTCCACCCCCACCTAATTATTGTGAAACTCTTGGGTATTAAGCACTTTTAAATTTTACATTGTTAGAGAAATCCATTTTTGTTCTTATTGATTATATGTCATTTGAGGATGCTATGTGATTTTGTCTGCAATGTGTGCATTCCTACTGAAGCTTATAATGTAATCTGTAATCACCAAAAGATGAATGAATCACTTCATCACTGCCATTCTTCCAAAAAATTTTGTGAAGGCTTCGCTGTATCCTGAGAATATTGCTGCAAAACATACAAACCACACACAAGGCACCGTCTTTTACCCACTCGAACCTGCGCCAGCACCAGCAGAGTTAGTCCATATGCTCACCTGCAAAAGCCCTTTGGCAGTCACTTTTGATATTTGAATGCATGATGAGACAATGGAAGCAAGATTGCAGAGATTGATGCCAGCCAAAATCTGAATTCTTGTTTTTTTTGGTTTTGCTCTCCCTCTAAGCAATATCTCGGTGGTACAGTGGTGAAAGGACTATGCTGGTAGCTGAAAGGCTTGAAGTGGGGGTCTGCTTCTTAAAAATCCACAGCCCTGGAAACTCGAGGAGCCATGTCTGCTCTATCTTGGAGAGTCACTACGAGTCAGATTGAACTTCAGGGCAGGAGGGGGTGTGGGTTGTTGTTTTTCACACAATATTTCTCCTTCATTCTGCCTCTCAGTTGCCGTGAAGACTGTACTGTCTGCACCATACTTAGTTGCTTGCTGGATCTGGAGCCCCACATATAGCTGATATTGGATGCAGTCTTGCTAATTAGGGTGAACCTTATTCAGAGATGACTGATTATATAATCTAATTGCAGAAGCACTAGAAAGGCCCTTTGCTCCTCAAACTAGTAGCCTTCATGGTTTTTTCTTGGCACATGAAGTTCTACATTCAGAGATTCTCTTTAATTTTAGGTATTGCCTCCTGTAATACAAATAGAGGGGTACCATATTAATTATTATTACAAATTAATTACTCTGACTCAATGTATAGATAGCTATCAGAAAGTCTTTGGGATTACACTGCCCAGCACAATAGTCACCAGCCACACGTGGCTATTTATACTGGAATTAATTAACATGAAATAGAAATATAAGCTCAGATTCTCCACCTCATTGGTCATATTTCAGCTGCTCAATTGTCTTGTAGATAGTGGCTTTCCATTGAACTGTGCTGGTTAAGAACATCTCTGAAACATCCCTGAAGAAAATTGTATTGAATAGCAATGCACTCAGAAGCAGGGATCCTTCGCTTTATCACTTCTACCTCTTTGCCATAATCAAAACCCGCCTTCCTCTAGGGGAGCTTACCTAGATCCTGAAACCTCTCAAGTGG